ACAGCTTTTCTGACTCCTGTGAGTCCTTCTAGTGAATTATTGAGCCTGAAGGTGCTCTTGGGGACCCCCAACATAGTCACTTGGCTGAGGGTTCCATGGTGGGGAGTGGTGGTGGAGAGGGAACTCTGGGGAATGTTAACAACAGGCTATTAATAACGAAAGGGCTGGAACTGGACCCTGGAGTACTCACCAGGAACTTTGAAAGTCTCTTATTTGTACCTCAGAGGTTTTACATATTTGCCCCATTTACCCATCCAAACCATAAAAATTCGCTGGGGCAGGTCTTCCTGCTACCTCTTTACTCCCCACAGCGCCTACTGCAGTGCCCTGCAATGCAGATGGTACCCTGCCCGGATCCCTTTCAGCAGGTGAGTGCACCCCTTGTTCAGTTGCTGTGGGTTTTGGTTGCTAAGTGGCTCGCGGTCACTCCTAGGAGACCTGCCTAGGCGTTCTGCTCCCCCACCCCACCCCCCACAGCCAGGACCCAATGACTGACTGACATGGGGGCACAAAAGGCTGTCCTCTTTTCCTCAAGGTGGGACCAATTCCTTGGTGCAATCCATGCTCCAGAGCATTCTGTGGGATCAGGCTGAAGCTGGTCTCCACCCGGACCAAGTGCTTGCTGAGCATTCTTCCTCAGCCCTAATCTGCTTCCCATACTCCTCCTCTTCTTAGGGCATTCCCTCAATCAATCACTTTTTCCAGAATCCCTATCTCAGGGACTGACTTGAGGGAACCAAGCCAAGACAGTGATGCACAAACTCTCATGGCCGTTGGAACCCCTACAACTACATTTTGATACAATGCCAATGGAATTAACCAACCCAGCGTGGCCCACAGTGTCCTTGTTTCTGCAAAGGAATTTCTCAGTCATTTAAACCTCTTAGTATTGAGTCCATGAATTAAAGTGCAGAAGATATAAACCTTTTGTGGTCCACTTGTTAGCAGCTCTGGGAGACAGAGGGTGAAAGAATTGTTGAAGAGGAGGTTTTGCTCTGAGCCACAAACCTGTCATTCATATGCTTCCTCTTTCCCACAACAGAGCCTGTTTGCTCCAGTCTGTCAAGTAAGCTTGATGGCAGGGCTGGGTGGGGTAGATGCCCTAAAGGGCCAATCTGATCCCACCATATGGACCTTGTGCCTCGTGTCATTCTAATGCTGAGATGGCTCTTCCTGGTTCCCGAGTGGAAACAGAGCCAATACCACTAATGAAATGGAATGACCCAGAGTTCAGCTGAGCTGCCCGGCCAGAGAACTGTGCCAAGGAGACTGGAGCTGCAGGTTCGGTCCTCTGGTGGGTTGGGTTTTGTTTCCTGACCATTGATTGTACTCCAAACCCTGCCACAGTTATTCCCATGTGTGCCACTGGGTGCTAAAAGGTGTCAAGGCATGGAAGTGTTCACATACCAGTTAGTCGAGAATGTGCAGAGCAAGAAAGAGACATCAGTGGAGACTAAGGAACTCGAACTCAAAATCTGGAAGGGTTTTTAGTGGTCTTAGTGAAGTTCTCGGTGTAAAACAAAATTCATGTCTCAAGGATCAAAATGGCTGTAAGCACAGGTAAGAACACAGCTCCTGCACTCAAGCCACAGGCCCATCAGTTGGTTCTGACACAAAGACCCCCATTGGTTTGATACTGGATCTTCTCAACAATGATGGGGATTGTTGATCCCAGAGCTGGATTAGTGGGACTATTAGCAGGGACACTGACGGTGGGCTTGGGATGTTTAGGCGATTGAAAGGAAAAGCCATGAGTTACTTAGGTAGCAACCCAACTTATGTAGTACCTCCAGCTACCTTCACCTCTACTTACTGGAGCTTTACCTGTGGCTTCCTGCCCTGTGACCAGTTTTAAGTCTTGTAAGGAGGGAGGAAGGGTTGAGAAAATTGAATGTATTGCCAACACCAGCAGGTATTCTCTGCCTGGGTCCTGGACACTCTTCGTGTTAATTCCACTATTGACACCTGTGGGTGTCAATGGTGTTTTACCAATATTCCTTTGACCCTCACTTTTCTGTGCACACCAGCCCAACTTCTACCTGTCAGCACCTGTGTCCTTTTGCCTGTGGCCTTTCTCTGGCCACTGGAGCCTGTTCTGCTGCAGGACACACCAGAGGTGTCGGGGCAGTAACAGCCCAGGAGAATATCATCAGCCAAGGACTGGCAGGGTGGGAAGGCCCTGAGGTGGCTGTTCCTTCTGCCTAATGGAGCTGCCCGCCAGGATTAAGCTGCCGTGGCCCACAGTGCTGACTTGCACCCTTTACTGGCTTCCTTCCCTCTCCCATCACTCCCCATCGCTCTATCAGTGTCTCCTGAGGTCATTCTCCCCACCCCCAAATTACTTGCACTTAATTCTTTGTCTCAGGGTTTGCTTCTGAAGGAAACGAAGCCAGTGTCCCATCTTACTTTCCTTACCGCACAGATCAGACCCCAAGCTAGGGCAGAAGCTGCCTGGAGGAGCAGAACACCATTTCTAAAGTCAGTCTGCAGAGAACCAGAGAATGGTTTGGTGTGGAAAACTCACATTTAGTGTGAGAAGTGTTGTGAGTAGAAACACACCATCACAGGAGACAGGATTAGACAATATGAGAACGAATAAGGATAGCCACCTTCTTTCCTCCTCTTAGTTCTTTCCTTTTGCTGCTGTTTGCTGTTGGGGCTTCTCAACTTCTTCTGTCTCAAACCCCATTTCTTACATTCTAGCAGCCCAGGTCTCCAGTCTTCTCCAATATAAAACTTCAACCAGGACTCTGTCCCAGCTCTGGGCAGCTCTCTACTCCCACCAGCCCGGCATGGAGATAGTTACTCTGAGCTCACGCTTCGGAGGGAATCCCATAATTGTCTTAACAGGGTGCTCCTCTTGGCTCAAATGCATTTCAACAGTAGAAACTTCTTTTAATTAAAGGGCCTTTTAGCAAAGTCAAAATAAACAGAAACGAACAAATTTTAAAACCCCTCTCTATTGTCTATATTTGTTGAACAACAAATGAAGTTCCAGCTAACACTTTGACACAGGTATTACAAAGGGATGGACTTCAGTTGGGTGGAATCTCAGGCCTCTGGGAGGTGTGCTCAGGCAGGTATTTTGGGGTGGTTGGCTCCCCCAGATCTCATGCTCTTGGCACCTTTTGTGACTGGAGGAAAGGATCAGACTTGGTCAGAAGATTTGGAGTTGCTCCAAGATCTGGTCTGAAATCTACAATATGGACACCAGGCTTGGCACAGGTGATTCTAGAATCACTTCCTGATTTCCAATCTGTGTAGATTCTCCTCTCCCCTCTCCTCCAACTGAAACCCCTCAAAACACCGGCTTTCAGGGGTACAGGGAGGAGCCCGTCAGGCTCTGATGAATCAACCACGGCCCAAGACAGGCTCAGATAATACATAAATGAATGAGAGAATACTTAAATGAATAAATGAGTCTGTGTTCCAATAAAGCTTTATTTGGCCTGTCCTGATCAAGTTTAATAACATTTAATAGATCTTTTTAAAACATGAGTAGTAAAAGCAATTCCTCTGTAATAACAATTATATATGAACTCCTGGTCAAGGTCAGCAGCTTGTTCCTTTACCAAAAAAGTAAAGCTGCCCTCTGAGGACAAATGGCACATGAGGAGCGGTGTACATTTCCTCTTCTTTTAAAAAAAAGAAAAAAAAACAAACACTTCGTATTTACATATTTCCATTTAAAAATTCGTCAGTGTGATTAATTCTGTTTTTAAATATAAGTTTCTAACGTGTTGCAGGTTTCAACGTACAAATCCTAGTTAGCTGATTAGATTTAAGGTGCTGTTGACGTGAGGGTGACCACGCCCAAGACCAACACTGGCGAGTCCTCTGCTTACAGACTGGCTCGACTTCCTATGGGTATCTTCAGGGGTCTTGAGGGAGAGCTGAACACCAGTGCTGGAAATGGCAGAGCATTCCAGAGGATGGACTATGCTTCTGCAGAGGAACTGCCATGCCCACACACCATCACCCCAGGCTCCATGTGGAAGTACACCTCTGGGTTTGCATGCCCCAAACTCATCCTGGCCTAAGCTATGAGGGGCATGGTGGCTTTGAGTCCCTTCCTTTGTCACGAGGTCCCCATGCTGGTGCCTGACTCCTGAGGGCCCTTGCTGTCAGCACCCCACATTTCATACCCTCCTATCTTTCTGGATTCCTGCCCCAAGGCCACTTGCTCTCAAATGCATTTCTTTAGTGCCTGCTCTTTGCCAGGGCTAAACGGATAATCAAAATCAGGGGCAGTACAATGAAGCCTGATAGGTCCCATGTGAAATCTTCTCCTAATACATTTGCTCTATGGCAGGTACCTCATTATTTTCCTCCAAAGGAGCGATTCGTGCGGAGAACATTAATTCCCAATGTAGGCTTGGAGAGAAGCCATGTGGATGTGGATGGGGGTGTGGGGGCAGACTGGAGGGATTCTTGGAATCACTGTCTTCAAACTCACTCATGTACAACGTCCCGTCAGGATCTAGGGCTGTGTCTTTGTGTCTGCGCATGTTTCAGGAAAGTGCATAGGGCGTTCTGGAAGAGGTGTGTACACAGGCCTGGGAGAATGAGTTCTTTTACCCACAGACCCCGGACTGGTCTGATCTGAAATAAAGATTTCAGACCATGCAGGGGTGAGGCAAATACAGGGGTGTGGCAGAAGGGAATACTTAAGGACTTGAAGAGCCAGAAAAAATATGCTTGGTGACTAGGGTAAGACTGGCTCAGTTTCCCATTTCGGAATACAAGAAGCATAGCTCTGAATAAAAGAATATCAAATGGGTCAGGTGGTAATGGACAGGGAAGAAACATCTTGGACCAAGTTTTCTGATAGAAAAGCCAGGGCGACCCCAGCAGAGGAAGACACTATATAGTGGACAGACACCGGTCTAGGGGCCAGGGGACTGGGATTCAAAACTTGCTGGGACTCTGACGAGGCCCTGATATTAAGTCACTTGCTTCTCTGGGGCTCATCACTTCCTCATCTTCACTCAACACTTCCTCTTCTGTCAGTTGAGGCTAGCTGGACCGGATGGTTTCAACCTATGCCTGCAAGTTTCTCTGCACCCAGCCACCCAGGTAGAGCCTGCGGACACTGCTAAGACATGTTTCTTCCCTGTACACCACCACCTGTAAAATGCAAGGGCCTCCTCTTCGCTGGGAAAGTGATCAACCCCCAAACTAGGCTCCTGTTCAAACCCGCTCCCAGAGGTTAAAGGCTAGTTATTAAGGCAGTTTAAGAAATGGACACTCCTCTCGCTCCTCGGATCCGTTCTGCGAACCTCAAGGCAGCAGAGACGGGCGGAAGGGGTGGTGGAGGTGCCAGGGAGGCGGACCCCTCCTGCCAGCCGCGGCTTTCCCGTGTGGGGCCTCCCGCTCGGGGGCCTGGGGCGCCCCCTTCGCCCTCACCACCTTTCTTTGGAGAAGGCTTCGGTCTGCACGAGATCGCCAGGATGCTCGGAGATGCACGCGCCGTTGAGGTCGCCCAATTTATTGTCCGGCAGGTCCTCGGGCTTGGTGCACAGTTTCAGGGCGCGGGAGATGAACACGTCCAGGTCGAACTGGGGGCTGGCGCCCCCGTCGATGGGGGCCGGCCGGCCAGGAGGAGAGGCAGACAGGCGGCGCTCGGGGCCATCGTCGGGGGGCGGGCTGGCGCGCTCGGGGCCGACCTGCGTGCTCTTGACCCACTGCGCGATCTCCAGGAAGAGGCTGGCCGGCTCGTCCTCGCGCGCCCCTGCGTCCGCGGCCACTGCGGCCACCGCGGCGGTGGGGGGCGCCCCGGCCGCCTGCTTCCAGTGCGACAGGTCCAGGATGAGCTTGGGCTCCGAGTAGTGGTGAGGCTTGTTGTCCCGCCACAGCAGCTTGTCCAGGTAGGACGGCGACCCCACCTTGTAGTCGCAGGAGCGCCCATAGTCGGCCTCGAAGGCGCGCTCCATGGACGAGTGCGAGTGCTCCAGGAAGCGCTCGGAGCTGCTCTGCGAGTCCTTGCGCGGGTCCACCTGCACGTCCTCCACCAGAGGCGCCGAGCCCGCGCGCGGGTCGCGCTGCACCTCGCTCGCGTCCTGGCACCGGTCGGGCCGCCACTCCAGGTCCGATGACAGGCTCACAGGGTACCTGCAAGGGTCAGACGGAACGGTGATTGGACCCCCAGGCGGGGTGGCTTTGTGGAGGGAGCCAACCCCCCTAATCCGTCTGCCACCCACAGGCTGGGTTTTCATTCCTTCCCAGTCCCTCCACCTCCTGTCCCCTCCAGCTCCCAAGGTGGGAGGGTGATGCAACAAGGTAATGGTGAGCCTCCAGGGCTCAGGTAGAGGGTCCAATTGTTTAGCTTAACCCTGTGTTTTTTTGTGTGTGTGTGTGTGAGGAGGACCAGCCCCAGCTAACATCCAATGCCAAGCCTTCTCTTTTTTGCTGAGGAAGACTGGCCCTGGGCTAACATGCGTACCCATCTTCCTCCACTTCATATGGGACTCCTCCACAGACTGGCTTGCCAAGTGGTGCGTGGATGCACGCCCAGATCAGAACTGGCCAACCTGGCCACCACAGCGGAGCGCGCGCACTTAACCGCTTGTGCCATCGGGCCGATCCCTGTGTTCTTTTGTATTCATGAAATTCCCAACAAATATTTCTTGTGCACCTATGTGCCAGGCGCTGTTCTAGGCATTACCAGACAGCAGTGAAAAAAGCAAAATCCCTGTCCTCATGGAACTTACTTTCTAGTGGGTCCACTATGCAGTGCTCCTCAAACTCGGATGTACACACAGATCAACCGGGGACGTTGTTAAAATGCAGATCCTGATCCAGTAGATGGGAGATGGGGCCTAAGATTCTGCATTTCTAACAGGCTCCCAGGTGATGCTGATACTGCTAGTCCAGGGACTTTGAGTAGCAAGGCCCTAAGGAGTGCTTCTCAGCCCTCGTGCAGATTAGAATCACTTGGGGGAATTAAAAATAAAATTCCATGGCTACCCCATTCCCTCAGTTCTGATTCAGTAGGTCTAGGGTGGGGCCCTGCATCAGCATGGTTTATAAACCTCCCCAGGTGATACTAAGGTACAGCCAGGGCTAAGAACTTCTGCCCTAGTGGATCTGGTTGGATGCCCTACAGCACCCTGCGTGGATGCAGAGCAGGTGGGGCCTATGGAAAGATTACAGACACCCTCAGGAGAGGCCAAGGATGCCAGAGGGAATTCTGCCCTCTGTCCAATCTGTCCTGCAGCTGTGGAGAGTGAAGTCAGCTAGCCAAGGGCAAATGAAGGGCAGGCGGGCAGGCCATCAGCTTGGGCTGAGCCGTCCCTCCCTGTGCCAGGTGCTTTATGCAGAACTGCGGGGAGCGAGGCAGGGAGCACAGAGGAAGCAGCAGCCAGCAGCCAGCTACTCTCGGAACAGGAGGCCTAGTGCTCACACAGGAAAAACCAACACACCAAGGACAGGCAGGTTTGGCCGTGTGAAGGGCAGACGGGCGGTGGCAGTCCCCATGGTATGATTAGTGAGGCATGGGATGGCCCCAGTACTGCCCGTCCTCCCAGTGACACCATTAGGGCAGGAGGCACTCCTAGAGGTGAACACTGCCTCCTCCCATGAGGGTCCTCGAGACTGCAGAGATTTCTAGAAAGCAGAGCTTGTGAAGACCCTAACCCTTGGCTGCCACATGCCAAGGGCCAAAGGTAAGTTATCTTTAGTTGTTGTAGCAACCCAGTGGTGTTAGTAGTATCATCCCCACCTTATCAATGAGGACACTAGTGTCCAGAGGTTACACAGTTTGCCTAAAGAGGCAGGGCCTGTAGAAAGGGGCTTGTCATCCACTTTGTCATCCTCCTCCTTCATTTGCCAGTGTGATGGGAAAGGTCGGGAGCAGAAGTGCACCAGGTCTAGAAGTAGTCAGAGTTGAAAGGCAGTGGCCAAAGAAACCCTGCTACAGCTTTTCCTGGCACCAGCCCCATGCCACAGCCATGATAAGCACAGGATGAGCCTCGCTGAGCCACCACTCGGTGCCGTAAATGCTGTGGAGTGGAGGGGGAGGGGCTGCAGGGACTATAGTCAAGGGCAGGCCTAGCATGGGGGTGGCAGAAGCGTCTTCATTAATCTCCATTTGTTGGCAATTCTTGATAACAACAATCGACAACAACAAACCTGTCCAAAAATAGCAACATTGCCCTGGCCCTCCCTCAGTGCCTCCTTAATCAGAAACCCATCATCTGTCAAATGACTAAAAAGGAGAAATTGCTCGTCTGTCACTTATGTAACTAGCTGTCACATTCCCACAACAGTGGGGCACCTACTTGGCCCCCTCTGAGTCCTAGTTGCCAAGCCCTTGACTTCTATTTCTAAATGGAGCAGCTATCAGCTCTCCCTCCCGGGATTAGCAGATGGTGATGCCCAGAAGTTTAGCTACCTGATCTAAGAACATCAGAACAGGAAGGGACCTAAGAGATCATTATGTGCCTGTGCAGAGATTGGTAAAAAATGTATCTTCTACCCAACTCTGATTCATTCGTAGTGACTTCTGGAGACACTGTGTTGAGAAGGATTCTGAGACCCAAACTGGTTTAGTGGGAAAGAGTTCTGTGATTCCTTAGCAGTGTCTGACGTGGATGCAGATTGGTGAGGGCCCCGAACGGGCCAGGTGTTAGCAGTGTGACATGATGCCAATCTCTAACCTCTCTGAGCTGTAGCCTCCTCCTCATGCGTCAATGGGCAATAATAATAATGGCCCCTCCCTTACTGGCACTCTCAGTAGGTGCAAATGATGTGAGCCACATGAAAGTATTGTGTAGTGGTAAATTTCACATTGTTTTCTCTCCTTGCATTGCTGCATTTGACTTTTCAAGGGCAAATTCCCAGCCTGCAAGGTATGAGTTCCTACAGTGGGTACTCATTGAACACTTGTGGAACAGTGTGTCGAGCCCTGTGTTCAGTATACTCAGGGTGGGGAGGAAAGCTGGTGGTGGCTGTGTTGCACAAAGGAAGGCCCCAACCTACACATGCAAGACACGGCTGGTCATCTACTGGGCGTGTCAGGGGACAAGAGAGAGAAGGCAGGAAGCTAAGTGGGGAGAAAGTGCCCCATGGGCTATAGAACTTGAGAGAAGGAGAGAAAGGTCATGGAGGCAAAATAGAAAAGGAAGGACGGGGGTGGGGGGTCGGGCCCGTGGCTTAGTGGTTAAGTGCGTGCGCTCCGCTACTGGTGGCCCAGGTTCGGATCCCAGGCGCACACTGACGCACCACTTGTCTGGCCATGCTGAGGCCATGTCCCACATACAGCAACTAGAAGGATGTGCAACTATGACATACTACTATCTACTGGGGCTTTGGGGAGAAAAAGGGAAAAAAAAAAGGAGGAGGATTGGCAATAGATGTTGCCAATCAGGGCCGGTCTTCCTCAGCAAAAAGAGGAGGATTGGCACGGATGTTAGCTCAGGGCTGATCTTCCTCACAAAAAAAAAAATAAGAAAAAAGAAAAGGAAGGATGGGAATGTGGGCTCTAGACGCCAGGGCTGGAAGCCTCTGGAACCACACCTGTCCCAGTTGGAAAGCTGGCTCTGGTTGGCGGCCATCAGCAAGATGTCGTCAATCTCGTCCTCAATGCGGAAGGGGTGCTGTGAGGTGGGCTCGTCCTCGGGGCACGAGTAGGGGCTCATGTAGGGGTGCTGCAGCCCCATCTCTGCTGTTAGGCGATCCATGGGGTTAAAGGTCAGGATCTTCTCCAGAAAGTCGATGGCTGTGGGGAGCAAAGCAGGACATGACGGTCATTTGTTGCCCCTGCCAAGCTGAGAATGAGATTCCTCAGCATGGTGACGTCCCCGGGTATTTATACTTTTCTGTTTTTAGCCATTTTCTTTCTCATGATCCTCACCACAATCTAGTGACAAATTCAGAGCCAATGCTGCTTTTTTTGACTTCACAAATGAATTAATAGAAGCCCAGAGGGGTAAAATGTCTTGCTCAAGTTTTCATGGGGTCCAGGGTTAGAACTGTGCCTTAGGCTGGATTTCTCCAGAGACAGAGATTGGAGGGAGGTAGTCTATGTGGCAGTGATTGCAGGAAGCACGAGTAGGGGAGTGGGGAAGAAGCCGATAGAAGATGTGTCAATGAGCAGGTTTCTCCTGTGGGCACCTGGGACTCAATTCCGTTCAGGTCTTCTAGGAGACAGCATGGGACACACCTCAGAGGTGGTTCCACTTGGGTGGGGAAACTGGGGTATCTCTATACCCCTCCATTTGTCACAAGTTGAGTGCTGCCGAGGAGCAGCAGTAAAAGGCTTCAGTGAGAAAGGTCACCGTGGAGGTAGGCAGGGGACAGGGCTGATGGCCCAGAGCTCCTGTCTAAGCCCAGAGCTCCTCCTGCATATGTTGCCCCTGGAGGTCTGACAAACAAAGGTGGGCAGGCTTCTTCTTGAAAATATTTAACCACCAGGCTGAAGTCCCTCTGCTGAAGCTTTAGTGGCTAGACCATGGGGACGTCCTGGGCAGCTGGAACCTGGGGACAGGAAGGGACACTCAGAAGCCTTGTGCAGTGACTATTTGCCAACCAGCATGGAAGTATATCAAGATTTCAGCAGCCAGTAGGGTGTTATGGGTGTGCACTGGCTGAATATCAGCTCTGCACACAGTCTTGGTACCCTTTTTCCTGAACAGAGGTAGGGGCACCCATCTGCCCTGTGAGCTGGGCCTTGGGTTATCTCAGGGCAAGGTCTAGCCTGGAGGTTTGTATTACTTCTTAGCGCTGGAGGCTCCACTGAAATCATGACTTGGCTAATGAGGTTACAGCCCACGTGGAAAGGGAGGAATGCAGCTGAGCTCCAGGCCCAGGCTGCTGTCCTCTCAGAGGGGATCCTGGGTGGGCCTCAGCCTGAGCCATTACCCTGCCCCTCACACTAGTCGTGGATCTCTTTGCAGGAAAATTCATCAATGATTCAGGAAATCGATGGATTCAGAAGGTCACTGGCCTCCCAGGAGGATGTGGTGCTGCTCGTAACCCTAGACCAAAAGATCAGTTAAGCAGCAGTAAATCTGATCACCCCCAAACACTCTGGGGGCTCAGGGGATGCTTCTGGGCCCAGGGCTGCAGACTTGAAAGAGGATCAGCCTCACAGACCCCCGAGACTGGGAAGAATCGGGCACTCGAGTGCATGGCCCAGCTGTGCACTGCCCAGCTCCAGGCTGGGCAGGTCTTTCCTCTTTGGGCTCCTGACCCTTCCCTCAGCCCCACCTATTACACTGGACCTTTTACAAGGAAATGAGAGAGTTAAAGCTCTAAACGTTGGCAGGCAACATCACCATTATCATCATTATTAAAAAAAGATCCAGGGAACCCTGCAGTTGGAAAGTGCCAACCCCAAAGGCCACTCTACTGATTCTGGTAAGGATGAGAATCTCCTCTTTCTTCTCCCTGACAGCTGATCCTCTAGCAGGTACCCAGACACTTCTGGGAAGCCCAAATATTAGAAAATCCTTCCTTATATCAAACTTAAATCTACCCCTTTAACTTTCACCCCTGAGCCTAGCTCTGCCCTCCATGGTCCCCCTATCAGCATGTTCTCTCTGCCCCATGACTGCCCTTCTCATGTTTGAAGGCAGCAGCCATGTCCCATGCAAGCCCCGTCTTCTCCTGGCACATAACCAGCCTACACCATCCAGGGCCCCTGCAGGTAGGTGTGGCTGTGTGACCAGAGCCAATGGAACAGGGGGAAGTGATGTGTGTACCCCACTTCCAGGACCGACCCATGTAAACCTCCTGCAAGAGCATCTGCTCTCTCTGCTCCTGGCTTCAGCTGGGAATGGGTGCCCAGGGGGACCTTGAAAGCCATGTATTGAAGACAGCAGGTGGCCTGAGTGCAAGCCATGGTCCCCAGGCTCCCCCACTCTGTCTGGCCTTGAGGAGAGCACTGGATACACTGCTAGGGGAGGGGTAAGCCATGGGGACTTCAGGTTTATCTGCTGCAGCACCAGCTTTACCTTAACGTATAAATCACCACACCTACCCCCCAACTCCTTTCCTCTGGTTCAACCTCCTTAGATGTTTTTAAGGCGCTTCTAATGTAATGAGGCTTCTATACAAACTTGTAACCTTCCTGTGGCCTAGTGGATTCCAAACTGGACTCCTCAGAGCCCGGGGGTCCTGGAAGGATTCTCAGGGGCATCTCTGGAGATTGAGAGGCTGGTGGGCAGGGCCCTGAGCCCCTCAACCCTGCTTCACCCAGAGCACTCCTGTTCCCTGTTTCGTATATTAGGTTTCCTCATCAGATTTGTCACTTGTGGTATGGTTCCGTCTTGTAGTAAACGGAGCTCAGAACTGAATGTTCCGGTGTGGTCTCGAGACCTACCTCCCTTGTCCTGCACCTGTGGCTTGATGGCTGCTGAGGGACATAGTCCACCTAGACTATGTCTTTTGAGCATCTGAGGGCTACAGCCAGAGAGAGCCCCTTCCTCTTCCGAGGCCTGCAGGGCCTCGAGTGTACAGCAGAGGGAGTGAGCCGAGGGTCACCAGCTGGCTCTTCTGGCTCTTGATGCCCTCTCTCCCACCGACGTCTCCTTTCAGTGATACCCCATCACCCTAAGGCCAGAGGCCAAGTGAGCCACTTTTCAAGGCCAGAGGCCAATGAGAGAATGTTGGTTGAAGCTGGCACGTTGGGAGGATGAAGCAAGTCTGGATTTAGTGAACATCTGCTCAGCTACGGGGTCGGGTCCACACTCATCAGCTGGGCCTCTTGGCCCTCTCACCTCTCCAGCTTCATGTCCTACAATCAGGTTTGTGACCCGTCCTGTTGATCTGAGTCCTCACCACTTCTCTAGGCCAGCTTCTCTGTCCCTCTCAGTGCTTGGGGAGTCTCTTCCCCTCTCTAAACACCTGGAGCTCTCACTGGCCCCTTGGGATATGTTCTTTAATCTTCATTCTCATCTCTGACAGGTGTTCCCTATCTTCCCAGCTAGGCCATCTCTTAGGTCTCTTTGAATTTCCATCCCTAGCACAGTTCTCTAGCCACAGTGGGTTAATGAATGTTGGCTGACGCTAGTGGTAACAGTGAGGAGCTTTATCTTCTATCAGGCTCCAATTCTGATTTTACCAAGACAAGACCCACGACTCTCAGAGCCAAGTCACCACGGGGCTGCTGTGTGTGTGGTTGCTTGGGGGAGGGGACATGGGTGACACAACCCTGATGCAGAATTCCTGAGAGGGGATTATACCTCTTGTCAGATGGTGGGATTTCTACAGAGGCCTAGGAATCAAAGTAAACATGGATGGGCTGAGTCTTAATTTGTGGTGAATCAAATTACCCCTCCTCCCCTTTAATGATGGGGAAACTTGGGCAGTTTACTGACTGAATGGGGATCATGGCCAAAGACACCGTTTTTGTGTGTGTGTGTGTGTGTGAGGAAGGTCAGCCCTGAGCTAACATCCATGCCAATCCTCTTTTTGCTGAGGAAGACCGGCCCTGAGCTAACATCTATTGCCAATCCTCCTCCCTTTTTCCCCCTTTTCTCCCCAAAGCCCCAGTAGATAGTGGTACGCCATAGTTGTACATCCTTCTAGTTGCTCTATGTGGGACGCCGCCTCAGCATGGCTGGAGAAGCGGTGCATCTGTCCGCGCCCAGGATCCGAAACCAGGCCGCCAGTAGCGGAGCGCGCGCACTTAACCGCTAAGCCATGGGGCCGGCCCCCAAAGACACTGTTAGTCCAAGTTCTTGGTTTCTTGATGAGGAGACGTGTGGCAGACACTGCTAGTTGTACCCATGTCTGTTCTTCTCTTTCATAATAATGGACACAGAGTGTCATGGAATAAATATCCACTTCACAGCTTCCACTCTGGTGAGGTGGGGCCATGTGACTAAGTTCTGGCCAACAGGACATGAGTGGAGGTGAGGTGTATATATTCTGGCTCCCGACCTTAAGAGCAAGGGGACCTGACTTCCTTCCCCACCTTCCCCCACATTCCAGGGGTGAAGGCAACACCCTAAGATGGCAGAACAACAACACAGAAGGGGCTTGGGCCCCTGGATGACTTTGTAGGGCAAGTCTACCATATTGGCCCTGGACTATCTGCTTTTGGATTATTATATGAGAGAAGTAAACTTCTTAACTTCTTTTTTCTTAAATACGAAATAAATCTTATTTAAGCCATTGAGAATTTGGGTCTCTCTTACAATTGGCTGAACCTATAGCCTACCTAATATAGGAGTTTCTAAGGAAGCCTCTGGCAGGTATGAGGCCTAGAGATAATGTAACTTCTAAGATGGGTGGAACAACTATTCTATGCCAAGAGCTTTACAAATTCTATTTTACTTACTCATCACAATGACTGTATGTGACATATATTATTATACCAATTTTACAGTCAGGGAACATGAGATAAGAGAAGTTAAGAAACTTTCTCAAGGCCAAACAGCTAGTCACTGGTGGAACTGGGGACTGAGTGTGGGTCTGGCTCTCAAGCTGATACAGCTCATGTTCTCTGTACCACACCATGCCTTCTAAGGGGGGGAAAGGAAAGGGAGAAAGGCAAGTGAGAAAGACAGGAATGAAAAGGAAGCAAAATCAGGGTAGAATTTGGAGGACCCACTGATGACTGCCTCCACAGTTGCCTGATGACCAAACTCTAGAGGCCAATCATCCTCAGTCTGAAGGAGCTAGGGCAAATGCCTGCTGCCAGGGTGCCTTGGCTTCTATATCTAGGGACTGTGCTTGGTCTTTCCGGAAGGAGAGCACCTGCCCCTCCTCCCCTAAGGTGAAGGCAGAGTGCAGTCTCCAGATGCTGGCCTGGCTGTCAGGCTCAGGTACCTTCACTGTTCACTTCGGGGAGCAGCTTGCGCAGCGGTCTCTTCACCTCCCAGGTGCTGCTGACGAAGGAAGGCATCACCCTGAGCAGCTCGTCCTTGTCCTCCTCCCGGATCACAGGGATGGTCTCCAGGATGAGCTGCATCTGCTCCAGCTCGTGTGCCCCTGGGGAGGCAAACACCAGATGGTTAAGCGTGCTGCCCAAGTGGCTGGGGGGTGCAGAAGCCCCAAAGCGGCTCTAGGAGCCTGAGAGGGGCAACACAGGACAGTGGAGCAGCACCGGGCTGGGGGCCAGGGGCCCTGGGTTCCGGTCTTCACTCCGCCACTAACTTGCTGTGTGACTGTGGGCAGATTGCTTGCTGTCTCTGAGGCTGGGCTTTGTCAAATGTCTCTGCCTCTGGAATGGACCAGTCTGATATAGACTGAGTCAGCTGGTGCTCAAGTGATGGGAACAGCCTGGCCCAAGGCTTTCCAAGACTCCTTCCAATATGCCTCTCTGCCTGTTCTTTATCCGGCTGGGGAAGGAAATGATTTTAAGGCTAGGAATGAGCCTTACCTTTTGGTCTCCGATTAGGAGGGGAAAAAATCAGAAATAACAAATTGCGTTTAGAATGAATCTTGAACACACTGCCTCTGTGCTCCTTTGGGCAGAGGGAGGAAGACAGGCTATGCCAGGTCTGTGGGAGAAGTGTGGTGGGACAGGGTGGAGTCAAGCATTCATTCACTCTTTCACTCACTCACTTATTCATTCAACACATAATTATTTGTGGAGCACCTTCTCCCTGCCAGGCATCATGCTGGACGTAGGGAATGAGTACTGTTCTCATCTGTAAGAAAGCTTCAGTTTTTATGTATCTTAGAAACTAACTCATCTTCTACGCCCAGGCAACCACTGAGCACTGTGTGAGGCTTTGGCACCACTGGTGTGGCTCTGCTCTGTCTCCTTGCTGCGCGCCCTGACCTCCAGGCCTTTCTGACTTCCATTTTTCCTTGAGTAGCCTTTCTACTTACCTCTACGAGCTTAAATCCAACCAAGCCTCTCCCTCCTCAAGAAGTCCCCTGACTCGTCCAGCTGCACAGCAGGCCCCCCCTTACCACCCATCCCCATGGGATTCCAATGTGCCAGAAGCTGGTGGCCTAGGCTGGGGCTCTTCCATGTCCCCCCAGGACGCCCTGTGTGGCACTAAGCACGTGTGAGTGCCGGGCATGCTGCCCCAGCAAGTGCCTACAGAAGCAGGGTCTACTCTGAAGGGGTCCCTTTGGCCTCTCCCTGCAGTGGGCTCATGAAAGGTCAGTTTGGGGACTCTGGGAGCCCCTCTGGGTCCCCTCTTCAAATGAGTATTCCAGACCAACCACTCACAGTGGCAAGGAGAGAGGAGGAGGGGGCTGAAAATGTAGGGTGAGTATTTTCAGAGGTCAATCTCAAAGTGTTTGAATGCAAGTGATTACTTGATTTCGAAAGTTCTGTGCTCAAAAGGCTCTTTTCAGCCTCTCCAGTATTTTGTCTGAAATGATAATAGGGTGCCTCCAAGTAGTCCCGTAAAAGCCACAGAGATAATTTCAAAGAGAAAGCCTGGCATGTTTTGTGATTAGCATGCTCTTTGCAGTCAGTTTTCCCTTTCTATAGAAGGACATCAGAGGAAGGAAGGTGGCATGGTCAGCGGCTTACCTGCAAAGAGCATTCTCCCCGTGAGCATCTCGGCCAGGATGCAGCCTGCGGCCCACATATCGATGGCTTTGGTGTAGTTGTTAGGGGAGAGGAGCAGGCGTGGTGAGCGGTACCACTTGGTTACCAAGCCTTCTGAGAGATAACCCTGGAAGACAAAATCCCTGGTTCCAGTGATCAGCCATTTGCAGATACCCTCCCTCCCACACCTCTCCTTGTTTCCCCTCACATGGAGACACAACCCCTTTCACTCTTCATCCTTTCCCGTTGGTCTTGAAGGAGCATTAGGGAACAGAGGTCTGGTTTGTGGGGCTCAAAGGTTTGGCGGGGGAAACTTACGAGGCCCTGGATTTCTCTTCTGTAGAAACAGATCCAAGATTTTAGAAAGACTGATTTCCCATCCCAACTTGATGTAACTATGCAGAACAAATCTGCCCTCATCTAGAAGTAGATGGATAAATAGGAGCCATACTCAAGTTTATTACCATCAACAGAGTAATGATGAGACACTGGAACTTCACTTATCCAGTGGCTGAATCTCAGAAATAGCCATCCATTTGAAATCGAGCCAGTTGCTCTGGTGCTAATGATTAAAATTAATGCTGCTACAGTGCCAGACTCCAAGCCCCTGCTGAGAATGGATAAGCCCAGCTTCATAGTGGGTGCAGATGAAGGGCATGTAGAAACAGCCCGAAATGACAGAGTGGACACAGCTTTGGTTGGCTCAGAGGATTCTGGGAGTTCTACAGAGCATCTTCTTGGATACATGTTCTGGCTGATTTCAGCCACTGCTCAATGACTTGTGGTCTGGATGGAATCCCTTACTACGGGATATAGTGATAACATATGTGTTTTAGCAGAGATAGGAAAGTATAGCCAGGCAATTTGGAAATTGTTCTCGATGCAATTCAGAAAGCTGGCCCAACAGTGAAACCTGGGAAATGTCCATTTGGATTACCTGGAATGGTCTCTTTAAAGTGAGAAAATAGACCCATTTTGGGGTCAAGGTGAGACAGTTCAGACCGAGGGGATACGGTGTTATTGTTTGCTGATGTAATTCCTGTTTAGCATCTGAATTTTCCTATTTACTGATGTAAAAAGTATCACAGACTCGGGTTAAAACATATAAAGTTGGGAAGCCCAAAGACCCAGGAGCTTTTGATCAGTTTATCTGAAGTCTCTTCATTTGTTGAGCAAAAATTTATTAAGTGTTTAAAACCTTCTGAGAGCCCTGCTATTATGACAGTATTTTTATCTCCTCTAGGGCCTATTTCATACGTATTTCTTCAGAGTAGAGCCTCAAACGGGTGGAAAAAAGGAGGAAAAGAGGAAAACACTCCTTCGCTGGAAATGACTACCGCATACCCATTGCCAGGCCTCAATGCTCCAACAAAAATGAACTCCTTACAGTTTTTTAAATGTGCCCCTCTTTCTCTCTCTGGACATCTGCATGTGTACATTCCATGGATGGATGTGTTTACACCCATGCCCTACCTGGCTGATCCACACTCAGGCCGGCTTCCTCTCAGAAGTTTCCTGGCTCTCTGGGATGAGGTTGATGCCCCTGCCAGGAGCTCCACTGTCCCTATTTTATTACTGTTTCTTTACTTCTCTGCAGTCCCCAACCCCCAGGACCATTAGACTATACACCCTTATGGGCAGCTGCTGTATCTTGTTCCACAGCCATTTCCAAATTTCCTAGTCCCAAGTCTGCCTCCTAGGAAGTGTTCAATGAACACTGTCGAGTGAATGAGTGAATGAATGAATGAGTGAGTGAGTAAGGAACGTTTCCTGTGGTTGGAACCCCCTTCAAAATGAGGCATCTTCTGCAGGGACCACTGATCCTCTTCTTTGACATACTTGACTTTACAGAGAGTTCCAATTCCCACTTTCCAAGGTAGGTGAAGAGTTTGCAAAAGTAGACAGCCACTTATGCCTTGTTCCAAAAGGATTGGCAAGTGTAAGCAACTTTTTTGAAGTCAGGCTTGTTAAGGTATAATTTACATACAGTAAAATTCGCCCCTTTTAGAGTACCATTCCATGAGTTTTGACAAAAATAGAGAATCACCTAACCAGCATCATAATCAAGATATATAAGAATTCCATCATCTCAAACCATTCCCTCCTGTGTCCTTCTGGTTACCCCTCCACCCCCGGTCTCCTAGCAACCACTGTTTTCTGTCCCTCTAGTTTTGCCTTGTACAGAATGTCATAGAAATGGAATCACAGTATGTAGTCTTTTGAGTCTAAATTCTTCCACTTCACGTAGTGCATCTAGACTCATCCATGTTATATGTTAGGAGTTTAAGTTTGATTCCAAGAATTAAAGAGACAAGCTAAATTGTCTGTAGAGTTCACTTCTGGGTGAGTGGATTATAAATAAAGAATGATCTGATCTTATTTTCTACTCGGAGGTTGAGACTGTTGGAGGAAGACTAAAGCAGAGATCATCCAGAGGGGAGGTGACACAAGGGGAGTTTTCTCTGATATGTAAATGGGCAGTCTTTTATGGAATGGAATTCCCTATAATTAACACTCGCCTATCTGCAGCATCTAGGACTAAAGTGGGGACACGGGGGCTTCCTTCTGAACCACCTACCCTGAAGTATACGAAAGGTATTCTCAACTGAACAACAAAAAAACAAACAACCCAATCAAAAAATGGGCAGAGGAAATGAAGAGACACTTCTCCAAGGAAGATATACAGATGGCCAATAGGCACATGAAAAGATGCTCAACATCACTAATCATCAGGGAAATGCAAATCAAAACAACACTAAGATACCACCTCACACCCGTTAGAATGGCT